CATAGCAAGACACCATCTCAGAAAACAGCCTCCAAAACACACAGACAAACCGGGGCTGGAACCTCAGAGAGAGAAAAAGCAATACTTTTTTGGTATGGGTGTAGGAGTGTGCATGTATGTTTGTGTGCTCTTGTGTGAGGGTGTATACCTGCATATGTGTACATTGGAAGGTCAGACAACATGTGTGTACATTAAGAGCAGAGCCTTAAGTGTCATTCGTCCTGTTCATACATTCCTACATATTCTACCTTTCTGATACAGGGTCAGCCGTTTGCCTGGAACTTCACAGGGAGGCTAGGCTAACTGGACAGTGAGTTCCAGGGATCTGCTTGTCTGCTATCTGTCTTGCTGTCTTTGGGATTATGAGCATGTGCCTCTATGCCTGTATTTTTCTGTGGGTTCTAGGGATCTGGATTTCATTCTTCATGCTTTACGAGACATCTTACCTCCCTCCCTTTTAAAATGTTTGATATTTATTTGTTTGATTTTTGAGACAAGGTCCTGCTTAGGTAGCCCTCAAACCCACAGAGCTCCTTCTCCCTCAGTCTCCCAATACTGTACTTTGAGAAGGGTGCTCATATGCCAGGCAAGGAATAATAGTAGTAAAATAATTGTCTTTTCTTCTTTTCTTCAAGATTGCTGTAAAAGGCTAGTAGAAACAGGAGGATGAGCTATCTTGAAAAATCATTAGGGAATAGAGCTGAGTTTAGGACTGGAGTCTAAAGTCCCTGGATTGCTGAACTGTGTGGGATTTGCCACACTGAGCTCTAGTTTAGATTCTATGAGTTTGTTTCAAAGCCAACCAAGCACAAAAGTACACAGAGAAACTGAATCTACTTAAAATCGCTGTATTTAAGAATCCCCAGGAACTTAAAGTTCTGCACGACGTCTCTCATCTGTGTGACGGCCAGAGCTGGTTTATTTCTGTCAGTTTTATCAAAACATGCATTAGAGACATTTTATACATTCTTGTCTTTCTTGACAGAATGAGTATCTGATTTAATATATTTTAATAATTTAGAGGTATCATCAACAGCATTTTTCTACTGAAGTACAGTTCAGGGAAGTCTAAGATAATGCACAAATATCTGAATTAGCTCATTGAGTGAGAATTTTGAGTTATGTATAGCTTGTAACCTTGAAGGGCTCAAATATTTCACTAAAAACTCTTAATTTTGTTCTCCTTGTTGTTGGTGGTGAAATAGCTCAGATGGTAGAGTGCTTGCCTAGAATTCACAGGCCAGTCTGCTCTCCATAATGAGTTCCAGGATAACCAGGGATACACAGACCCCCATCTCAAAAACCAACATGAACACCAAACAAAACAAAACAAAACAAAACACCCCCCCCCAAAAAAAAAACCCCAACAAACACTGACAAAAGCCCCATCCTGTTAACTGAGGTTAGTTAGCACCCTGACACCGTGCAGGTACAGGCCACATTCGTTGACGGCTGCTGTTCTACTGCAGGCTTGGATTGAATGGATTGCCAGAGCCCTGTGGTAAGCATCCTCCCAACTGTTATGAGCAGACCTGTAGCTCTTGGCCTGCAGGGAGATGTCTGCGGTAACTGAGTTAGTAGCACATGCTCCATCCAGAACACCACTCTAGCACGTGTGTGCAACAGTTTCATTGACACTGTAGTCAAAGGTTAGGCATTTCTACTTGGCCACTGCTCTGACTTTGGCTGAGGTCAGTTACCTAAGAAGTAAATGTGTAACCTGCCAGGCCTTGGATAATGCTCTCTTCGTATTGGAACATTTGCTGAAAGGCTTAGGTAACTTCTGATTTTTATGTTTATCATGAAGAGTTGTTAAATATTTTTAGATTCCAGCTTTTTATGGAAGACTTTCTGTAAATCTTTCTGTGTTGCTGGCTGAATCAATTGAGTCGATTTCCGGGGGGCGGGGGGAAGGCTGTTCAAAAACATTTAGGATTTGCACTTATTCTGTAAATTGGGACTTGCTTGTAGTATGTAAGCTGATAGAGTACACACATGGGTTGCTAGGCATGGGACCTCATGCCTCTGATTGCAGCGTGAGACACTGAGGCAGGGGGATTACTGTGAATTTGAGACCTGTCTGGGTTGCAGAGTGTGATCTTGTCTCAAATAAACAAACCGATAAATATAAAAACAAACAAAAAGTGCTGAGATTCGTGAAAATGAAGCTGTTCCATGGGACAATTTCTTGCCTTTATTCTGCTCAAATCAGTGTCATTATTCTTGGTCTTTGCGGTGCTAGTTGCTTTTCTGTTTTGATAATAAAATGCCAGGACCAAGGGCAATGTAAAGAAGAGTCTGTTGTGGCTTATGGTTCTGGAGGACTACAGTCCATAATGGCATGCTGACTGGGGGGGAAAGCTGTGTGATGACGTTTCATCCATACTCAGGAAGCAGACAGAGCAGGATGTGGCCAAGGCTATAAACGTTCAATTGCCCGGGAGACCACTTAGCTTTAAGTGTTGATATGATCTGTAAGTTTGAACGAGGGAGGATTGCTTTTATCTATCATATGTAGGTTTCAGGAGTAAGATGGAATGAAAGAATTTCAAAGCAAGAGCTTGGAAATATTTACCTTCTTTTATTGTCTGTTTTTTCTTTCTTTGGATGGGTGTACTTTGTCACCAGCCTGTCCTCAAACTCAAGAGTCTCTTGCCATAGCCTCTGAAGTACTTGGAGTGTAGATGTTCACTGATCACTGCTATGCTCAACAGGAAGCCCCTTTTTTCCTCCTTCCTTCCTTCCTTCCTTCCTTCCTTCCTTCCTTCCTTCCTTCCTTCCTTCCTCCTTTCCTCTCTTCTTCCCTCCCTCCTTTCCTTTCCTTTCCTTTCCTTTCCTTTCCTTTCCTTTCCTTTCCTTTCCTTTCCTTTCCTTTCCTTTCTTTTCCTTTCCTTTCCTTTCCTCTTTCCTTTCCTCTTTCTTTCTTTCTTTCTTTCTTTCTTTCTTTCTTTCTTTCTTTCTTCCTTTCTTTCTTTCTTTTCTTTGCAGGGTTTCTTGTAACTCAGCCTGGCTTTAATCAATCAATAATCAGTCAAAGAAGACCTTGAATTTTGATCCTCCAAAGTACTGGAATGGCAGGCATGCATCACCATGTCCTGTTTTTTTGTTTTTGTTTTTGTTTTTTTTTCCACTGTTGGGACTCAAAACTGAGATCTTGTGCATGCTAGATAATCACTGTAGCAACTAAGCTGCATCTCTAGCCCTGCAAACCCTTTCTTTATTTCTGTCGGTATGCCTTTGTGACAGAGTCTTCATAGCTCTAGCTGCTCTGGAACTCACCACGTAGACCAGGCTATTCTGGAACTCATAGAGATCCACCTGTTTCTACCTGCTAATTGCTGGAATTAAAGGTGTGCAGCATTATGCCTGGCTCCTGCAAACACCTTTAAACAGCAAAATGGTGGGAAGTGTATGGAGTGAGAGATGCTCATGTGTCTTAGGGGTCTAATTTTTTAGCTTTTTTCTTTCCAATCTGTATTGTGTGTTGAACCCAGAACCTTGTACCTGCTAGGTAGTTCTCTCTACTCCACCCTTCAAAGTCATTTTTTGTTTGTTTTTGAGACAAAGTCTGTGTAGTCCAAGATGTCTTTGAGCTTGCAGAGGTCTGCTCGACTCTGCCCCATGAGTGCTATGGTGAAAGGCATGCGACTTGCTCGAAGTCACATTTTAACAGACTCATTTTTCTCCTTTGTCTGTGTTCGGACATACTGGTTCGAGACTCCAGAACACTGGAACTTAGCGGCTGGGAAGCGTGGACCCCCTTCCTTCTGAGAACATCAGTAAGTTTGGTTTATTCTTGAGGGTGTCAGTGGATGACGGACAAAGTTGAATCTCTTTTGCCTCAACTTTTAGAAAGAGCCAAAAATATACATTAGTCTCTCTTTTTTTTTTTTTAAGATACGGAAAATACTTTCTGTTTTAGGAAGATTTTTTTTTCAAAAAAAGACTAGAATTTAGCATATGTACTTTAAAATTATTTACTTATACAATGTTTGCATTTAATATATACAGTTCTGTGGTGTGTAGTGTTGTGCAATCAGTATCATAATTTCCGAACATTTCATCATCTTCCACAACACTTAGTAGCAGGCACTCCCCCTACCTTTCCCTAGCCGCCAGCCCTAAGCAGTCACTCAGCTATCTTCTGTCTTTTTGGTTTTGTTTGTTTGTTTGATTGGTTCTTTTTGTTTCTGCTTTTGCTTTTCAAAACAGGGTTTCTCTGTGCAGCCCTGGTTGTCCTTGGAGGTTTTTTTTTTTTTACTCCTTCACATGCGGTTTCTGTTCATTGGATGCTTTCCCATGGCAGTGCTCACCGTTCGTCCATGTTACAAGATCTCTCAGCATTTTATCGTCTTTCTGTTGCTCTGCGTTATGTGATCATACCACATGTGATGGCTTCATGCTCAGCAGTCGGTAGACATTTGGGTCGTTTCCACCTGGGAGATGATAAAGGAGCAATGAGCCCTTTTGTACATCCTCACCAACACTTGTTGCATCTCTCTCTCTCTCTCTCTCTCTCTCTCTCTCTCTCTCAGTGCCCTCCCACTGGGTTTGAAAAACTGTTTGTTGCTGTTCTTTGGTTTTTGCTGGCATTTCTTAGAGCTGGGCATCTTATGTACGTATTGCTGTCTAGAGCACTTAAACCCTCAGACACTAACATCCTATAGTTTGTAAGTTTTCTAAGTTTGAGCCCCTTATCCAGTTAAAATTTGTTTCTGCCATGGCTTTAAAAGTGCTGGACTTTTGCTAGGTGGTCACAAGCTTTAAGAGGCTCACTGACCTCCAGGTACTGAAGATTGGTTTTAATTAAGTAGCATTTGGGTCTCAGGCAATGTGGATTTCATTCCTTCTTTCTAAACTATTCTTAATTAATCATTAGTCCTTGAGAATTAGAAAGAATATAAGTGCCAAGGGGGACATATGCATCGCTATGTCTAAAATTTGTTTGCTGCAGTGTCTTTTCCTGTCTAGGAAAACAAACAAGTAAGGACCCTATTCAGTGACTAAATGGCAGAATGCACTTGTTCCGAACTATAAGAGGTACGTGCTTGTGACTTTGTCCTTCATCTTACATTGTCACAAGAGCAGCCGAACACTCTTCTTCTTCTCGCTGTGACCCCAGCCAAGCTTTAGAGTTGCTAGACTTTTATAGTTGAGGCTGCAAGAAATGAGAGCAGCTTATTTTTGGTAGACTTGTTCTGCTTGGTGGTGCTACCTAGCAATGCTATTCCTTCTAGCTCCTCTTTAATTATCTACTCTGTGACATTAAATTATCAGTTACATCCCTAGAGTAAACCAGCATTCTCTAGTGACTTGTGCAGACAGAAAACTAAACCTCTTGGTGGTTTAAACTGGGATTTGTCTAAGCAGATAATGAGATTACCATCTTGAGCCCTAGCACAGGGCTCGAGGAAGCTGAAGTTGCTCTACCTGGGTGGACTTTAATCAGCTCTGGCGGGTGAGGTGGGCACATCAAAGACAGTCACACAAGTGTCTGGTGGACATGTCCCCCGGTGTATCTGCATGTGGTCAAATAACAGGATTCTTATTTCATCCAGAGACTAATTTTAATTAAGAAAATGGGGCATTGTGTGACTTTTCCTGGGGAGATGTTATTATCCTAAGATACAGTATTAACCACAGACCCAACAAATGATTAGACCAAACTCTAGCACAATGAGCCAGCTGAGTTTATTGGGGTTACTTCCAGGAGCTTGGGTGACTCAGTGGCAGCTTTGTAGTTTACAGGCATCAGGAAACAGTGAAGACTCATGGAAGTTGTGTCCTAGAACACCACATAGTCCGCGCATGGAAAAAGTCTCCTCTATGCACATGAATAATTGCTGCATCTGTAGCCTTCGTAAGGGGCTGTGTGCATCTTCTGACTTTTGTGGACTTCCTTACTTAGGAGCCTGCCTCTTCTCTCTAGGAGGGAGCATTTCACTTTGGAGGAACGAGCTGCACAGCATGGAGTCATTCCAGGAAGGTTGATATCCGTCTTCCCTTATCTCTAAATTGGGCAGAACTGGCAGCTTCTTGGTGAGAAGTGAAGGTGATGACTGCGGCTGTCGGTAACCGTTTCGCACAGTCTCCCTCTAGACAGCCCAGGAATGCTAATGTGGAATAGGACTTGGATTCAGTCAGCCTTCCCTATCCCACTCCTTAAGACCTGGAATGGAAATGCAAGGCTGGACAGACAGCATGGGGATTGTGGAGATGAGGTCACTGGAGCGACCTCTCTCTTTTTTCTGTGACTAGTCTCGTCTGTGACTTCTATCATAAGGGTGGCACTGAGTCTCTCCAGGACCTTGGGACTAAAATCTGCTCTTTCTGGGCACTTGTTTGGTTTGAGTCTTACTAGCCCAGGCTGGCCCCGACGACCACACACTGATCCTCCAATCTCAGTCTCTGCGTGAGATTTACCCAGTGTGAGGACTACAGGTGTGAGCTGAGGAATGTTTCGTAAACTTTTGAGTTTGGTATTTTTGGATCACCCCCAGTTCCATCTTGCTTCTGTCTCGTCCAAATGCAGGGATGAAGGGAGTCTTGACTCATGGTTTCCCTTGCCCCTGCAAGAACATCTTGCTTTTTAAACCTTAATCTTAAGACATAGGGGGTTTTGTTGTTGTTGTTGTTGTTTGAAATGTTGATATTTCAACTTGTTTTAAATTTCATATGATTATCTGTGGTAGGGTCAGCCAGATAGGCTGCAAATCAAAGAACTGTGCACCGACATGACCTAAGTACTTGAGTACTGTTGCCAGAGCTGGCTTCCTTATGAAGAAATGCACACTTGCCTCTACCATGGTCTTCGCTGAGAGAGAGGAGACATCAAGGGAACTTAATTATAAGACTTTCTGAACTGCAACCCTGGGGTTAATCAAGCATGGCACGATGTCTAGAACTTCAAAGTCTGGGTTTTAAATTTGAAAATCACCTGCAGCCTTCACGAAGTCAATCGTTGCTGAGGGAATTTGTTAGGAAGCGGTTAGGTGTGTCCCGGGAAAGGCTGCGTCCGCCGGGTCACTGCCGCGCACGCGCTGCCCTCAGCTGTCAGCAGCGGGGCTCTGTCCGCAGAGGTGCCGGAAGCAGCAACTTGATCACGTGTAAGCATCTCGCCGACGATGAGCGCCAGCTTTTTAGACCGTTCATCTGGATTCAGCTAGTGTAGTAAGTGGTTCCGAACTTGAGTGAAGGGACCCCTTGTTGGAAACATTTCCTGGGCAGTGCTCCAGCCCCAGGGGACCCAGATCTCTAGACGATAGCCTGGCAGTCTGTACTCTTTATTTTTATTTTTAGTCTTTTTTAATGGCGCTGTGGGTTGAACTTGCCTCGTGGGCGGTGGGCAAATACCCACCACTGACTCACGTTTCTTCTGGCTGTCTGTATTTTTATAATACGCCTTAGGTGTTTTGTTGGTTTTTTTTGTTGGTTTGTTTTTGTAAAGTTTGGTAAGTTTGAGAAACCGCATGGGTGAGTATGGCCAGTCACTTTAAAAAGTAACTGTAATTAGGGCTAGCCGGATGGCTCAACCAGCACAGGCGTGTGTCTCCCAGGCCTGGCAACGTTCCTTCAATCCGTAGAACCACAGCGAAAAGCGAGAACGACTCCCCCCACAGTCGTCCTCTGCCCTCGACATGTGCCGTCCCGTGAAGTCATCGCTTTCACCCACCACACTAATGTGAAATCCTTGCTTTCGAGCGTAGGTGTACAAAACACCAAAGTCGAGGTTGCTTTAAGGAAACGTGATTGTAAATAAGCCGCAGAGATCCAGTTTCCATTCCAAGTGTGCAGTCAACTGTGGCGTGGGAGTCATTTCTGCTGCTGAGGTTAGACAGGCAACCAAATGCAAAGAGGCCAGCTTTTGTGGGCCCCTGGCCAACCCGCCTGCTTGTCCCCTTCACCAATAAAACAATAAACAGATAATATATTTTATGACTATGTTAGCAGAGAGGAATGTATTAACATTATCTGTATTACGTTGCCTTCAACCCACAAGTTCATGTTTCTGTCTGGTGTGGTGGCACACGCCTTTACTTCTGGCATTCGGGAGGCAGAGGCTGGTTGATTTCTGTGAGTTTCAGACCAGCCTGAACAACATAGCCAGTTCCAAGCCATCCAGGGGTACCCAGTGAGACTGTGTCTCACACAGAGAGGCGGGAGGGGAGAGAGGTGTGTGTTTATGGTTTCTTTCGATTTATTTTGTTTGTCTTTTGAGAACCTCACCATGTGGCTCAGGCCCGCCTTGAACTAAGTATCCCAAGCTGGCCATAAACTCATGGTAGCTCTCTTACCTGCGCCTCTCAAGTGCTGAGATGACAACTGTGTGCCACCGAACCTGGATCTCCTGATTTTAAAGGGACTAATTAATATTACCTCACAACCTTTCCCAACCCCTGTTTTTGTGACAGGAACTTGCTCTGTGGTGCGGGCTGGGCCTCAAGATCATGGTCCCCCTTCCTCAGTTCACTAAGTACTGAGCTTACAGGTGTACAACACTGCACCTGGCTTCTCTGCCATGCTTGATGGCTAGTGCCCAGTGGGTTGTAACGCCAACTTTGATGTGGTGGCTGATGTGGGTAGGGTACTGGCTTGGAAGCAAGCGAAATGTTGAACTGTTTTCCATGGGAAACCAAAGATCGGCGATCAGCTACTTGAAGTAAAGTTAAAGCCGTTTCTTTTCTTTTATACCACGACAGAGGTATGACCAGGTACTTAAAAAGACCTCAGATTATGAAGTTTAACTGTGTTAATTCTAAAAATCAGAAAGTGTCAGAAAATTCTTGAGGACGGATCACCCTGTTCTATGACCCATGGCTAACAGTGATTCTGGGCTTGCTTTCTGTAATTGCTCGAGGCCAATTTCATACACTGACAGAACCGCAACTGTACAGCATGTGCCACTTAATCACCTTCCTTGACCTTAACTAGAACTTTCTTTTAATGCCCTGAAGTTCTGTCCAACAAAATTATTTTTATTTTATTTTGTGTATGAGTTCTTTGCTTGCATGTATGTTTGTGTACCATGTGCATGCCTGGTGTCCATAGAAACCAGGAGATTCCCTAAGACTGTTGTTACAGGGTGTAAGATGCCATGAGGGTGCTAGGAACTGAACACAGGTTCTCTGAACGAGCACCAAAAATCACTTCTCCAGGCACCCCCCACCAAATTATTTAAATAAGGATGTAGGGTTTCTTTGTACTAATGGATAGTCAGTTCTTTATCCAGCCCTGAATTTTTAGACATTGATGCTTCAGGCTTTTTGTCTTTTAATTGCCAGGGATCAAACCTATGGCCTTCTGCATACTAGGCAAGCATTTTGTAGTCGAGGTACGTTTTGGCCAAATTTTGAAAATTTTATGCTAATTTCTTTGGACACATTCATAATTGTCCTTAGGGTTAGAATGAAGGTGGCAAAGGGTGAAGAATCTGGAGCTTTTTAATACAGATTTCTGAATAGCCCTACTGTGGGAACTCCTTCAACCAATAGATACCAGCCCACTTTGAGCGTGAGCTCATGTACTATAAATGCGTATGAAAATTGGCCGCTGGATTCGATTCCAGTTCCCAACACACACAGAGGATTGCAGATCACTACTCTCTCTCTCTTTCTGAGTTTATCCCCAGGTAACTAAACCTTTGTTATACTCCATTCTGGGTTATTGTGGAGCTCTGTTGTACGCCAACATAGCCCCATGGGAAAGATTGCTTCCCATTTGTGGTACATATACCCTTGACAGTCACTACATGACTACAGTTTAAATTTAGACAATCTGGCATGCATTAACTTGAGAGAAACACTGACTCTGGTGTCTTTGTATAGCGAATATAAAGCTTAACAGATCTCTGTGTACAATAATGGGTCTCTTCAGTGTTACAGAAACCCTTTATTACATGCTAAGGTCCTTACAAATGGAGTTTTGAACTCTTGGTTTCACACTGTTGACATATGGCTTTGGAGTGCTTAGTGTGTGTGTGCATTTGGGATGGTGGAGTATAAGAACTAGGCAGATCCTCAGTAAGTTGTTCAGTTAAAAAACATTTCCAGGGACTGGAAAGATGGCTCAGTGGTTAAGATCACTAACTGCTTTCCCAAAGAACCTGAGTTCAAATCCCATTACCCACATGGCAGCTAGCTATCTGTAACTCCAAGATCTGACATTCTCACACAGACTTACCTGCAGTCAAAATACCAGGGCACATACAATAAAAGTAAATAAACTTTTTTAAAAAAGAAACATTTGCCTAAATAAGGTAATACAGTCCTTTGAAGTTCCTGCTTCATGAAAGAGTCTGTCAGACATTCTGCTGGACACAGAAGAGAGTGACTGACAAACTGTCAATACAGGCAGAACTGTCTTTGAAATTTCTTGCTTCATGGAAAAGTCTGTTGGATACTATGGGCCAGTAGGCTGAAGATGAGTGCCCCAACAATACAGAAGAACTTTGGGTGACTGTCCAGGCAGCGAGATGTCTTTGTCAATTCTAGAGTTTTGGAAGTTCTTATAATGCACTCCCTGTTTACTTAGGTAATATTACATCCTTCTGGGGTCTGTGATGGAGTTGAAGAATAGATAGCTATAGTTACAGTTTTCCTTAATTATGACAAAAGATAAAGTAGATATAAATATTGTAACTATAATTCTTGCTTGATACCTGTTATATGTAATCTTACTATGTTAAAGCTAAAACCTTCCTTTTTATTTAGACAGAAAAAGGGAGATGATATGGGAGGTGATGTATGCTGTAAATATGTTTCATTGCCATTGGTTAATAAAGAAGCTGCTTTCAGCCAATGGCTTAACAGAGTAAAACCAGGCTGAAAGAGATATATAGAGAGTAGGCGGAGTCAGAGGGAAGCCATGTAGCCGCCAGAGAAGAAGGACAAGAGCTGCCAGCTGGGAATTTTGCCGGTTGGCCACGACCTCGTGGTGATGCACAGATTAATGGAGATGGATTAGTTTAGGATATAAGAGCTAGCTAGA